GCGATTTATTCTTACCCTCGATTCATTTATAGATTATTCAAGCAAACGTAAAGCCGAAAATTTTAAAATTATTACACGAAATTTATCTTAGATGTCAGGTTTCGTCAATCATATGATACTTACATATAACCAGATTATGGACAAGTGATATTAAATAATTACTAGATGCTACCCACGGGCTTCACCCAGTTTGACTTTAAAAGTATTAATAAAACTATTGTTTGGTTAAGTTAAGCTGAAATAAAAAAAAAACATAATACAGTAATACAAACATATAACCACACCCGAATTTAATAAGGTAATATATTGAAAGGATAACAAACAAATAAGTACAACTGAGGAATTTTAACATAAGGTATATGGAAAGTTCCCTTTAGAAAGGAATTACAGCCTTTAAGGGCAATTTATGAAATAATGGATAGTTTTGCGCAAGGTTTCTCGTCATGATAAACATTTTAAGTATATGTATGGGTGTGTGACTTTTAGTTTTCTCAAAAGTTCATGGGTACTTGCTTTAGTATTTATACAGGGTGTCCCGGAACTCTCTACCAATATTTTAGGGCATTGTTCCTGGGTAAGAAACATATCTAAATATCATATTTAAATTGTCCGGAAGTCCTTATTTACTCAGATAGCTGCCATTTTGTTTTTTTCACTTATTAACTTTTTTCTGAAGATTGGTTAAACATACGAAGTTGAAACTTTGCACAAACATTTATGACAACTAGACAAAGCTACAAAAAAATTATGACCATTTTTCAAATTCATAAAACAAAATGGCGGCTGTTTAAAATTTTGTTTCTTAAATTAGGTACTCGAAAACCGTTGATTTTACTAAAATTTTACAAGAATAACTTGTTTAAGGCAATTTTATTACAAATCGATCGACACCTTAATCTTTAAGATCGGACGAGTATTAACTGAGATATGGCAGTTTTAGTGATACGTGACCGCTTTCAGCTTGCGCTGCAACTAATATCCGGCGGTCACGTATCACTAAAACTGCCATATCTCAGTTAATACTTGTCAGATCTTAAAGATTAAGGTGTCGATCGATTTGTAATAAAATTGCCTAAAACAAGTTATTCTTGTAAAATTTTTGTAACATCAACAGTTTTCGAGTAATTTAAGAAACAAAATTTTAAACAGCCGCCATTTTGTTTTATGAATTTGAAAAATCGTCATAATTTTTTTTGTAGCTTTGTCTAGTTGTCATAAATGTTTGTGCAAAGTTTCAACTTCGTATGTTTAACCAATTTTCAGAAAAAAATTAATAAGTGAAAAAACAAAATGGCGGCTATCTGAGTAACTAAGGACTTCCGGACAATTTAAATATGATATTTAGATATGTTTCTTACCCAGGAACAATGCCCTAAAATATTGGTAGAGAGTTCCGGGACACCCTGTATATGGATGTTCATACGAGGTACGAATTATTGAACAAATATTTATCCCATAAAACCCCCATAAGCCTCAGTTCCATTAGTCCGATAATGCTGGTTTGAGAACTCTTTCGAATAAACGTAGGTTTACATGTTTGTAACAAATTTCATCTAAATCGGGTGATTATTTCTCGAGTTACCACGTTAACGGACACATTATAGTTTGTATGAGTTTGAGCGAATGGTGTTTTTTGCCTCTGGAGGGCTCTGGAGTCCTCAAAGTGAAAATGAAAATCGGCCCCAGGTCCAGTTCTTACCATGGGACCTACGGCAATAGTTTGGTAATTGCGGTAATTGCCTATTATGGGAGATTCGTTTTAAAAAAACCTACCAAAACGTTATAACTAAAAATATATATTGTACAATGAATTTTACTATTTCATTTTGTCTAGTTAACGTCCACGATTTATTAACGAGTCTTAACCAAAAACGAAATGCCAAGAACTTTTATAATATAAAAATATAGCGCAATTGTTTATGAGTCGCCGTCCTTGTCCTCATGTGTCAAACTAGGGCCGTTATCACTTTAACACCACATGTTATCAGCAAACAACCCCTGGCCACAACTCTTGTCTGTTTACCTTCCCTAGTGTGGTGTCACATGATTAAAATAATTGCCCAACTGAAAATACTGGTGTAAAAAATAAATCAAACAAATTTAATGGTGTTATAGGTTTGTATGCTTTTTTATTTGTAATGAGAACCGACTGAAAATACCTACCCATAGAAAATGTAAACTAGGAATTAATAGACAAATATTTATCGCTGCCTAGAACCAACCGATTCTAATACTACGCAATTATTTTATCCTATATCAACGATTTAGGATGGTAATATCCCAATAGCCTACAATACACTAAGGTTTCACGTTCTGCAATGAAAATGTTTCGTAATTACAGTTATTACAATCAAATATAAAAATTCTTATGTGGTTTTCATACAAGGTTTTGATATATTAAACGTTTATGAACTCGCATTCTTTAATGTCCCCCATTTGCATTTGCTTAGATGATATCGTATGATATGAGTACACCTTTTTTTAAGATACCCGTAAAAGATTTGGGAAGATATTACTATATATATATATATATAAATATATTGATGCATCAAATGTGGCTAATATTTGGGAGGAAGGGAATATTACATTTGGAATAATATATTTAGAAAACATTTGTGTTAAGGAAAAATCCCTTAGAATGAAAATATCTTAAAATTATCTATTAAGTAAAAACCCCTATTTATATCTACAGTTTCTATTACATAATATACAATTGGACACCAAAAGGGAATTTATTTTAAACTAGCTGATGTGTACCCGTTCTACGCACGGGGATCTTATAGTATTCAGTTGAAACCTTGTTTAAAGAACAGCAGTTGGTTTGCATATTTTCAGATATACTGGCCAAACTATTATACAAAACTTCATTTTATGTTGTTTGTTGTTGTTCCGGATCGGTATGACAAACAATAATAGGTTAAATTACCTGTGTCCGCCGGTCGATCCTAATGCATCCTATTTCGGAGACGCATTTCGGCGGAATTAAATCGCCATCATCAGTCCTAATATAAGGTCTTGAGCTTCCCCATTAGGTGCGTCTTAGAGTTTTTGAAACACATACACGAACTGTACACTTATACACATGACGAATAAAACATAAATACACGTTAGGCCTACTTTTATTTTTACTGTGGACATGTAGACGCGCGTCGGTCGTGTGCCGAGTCTAGACTGAAAACGCTCATTTAAAAAATGTAAGTTTCCCAGCCATATACAACACTGATTCAAGGTCTTTTTCCCGGTTATCAAAACTCATGAACAATTTTATACACAAAGAATCTCTATTTTCATTTACGGTTACCCTACAAATTATTGCACTTGCGATTAATTAAATCCGTTATGTAAGGAATAACGTTTTTTATTTTACTTGGTTTGGATTTGCTTTCAAAACGTGATCGGATTTGGTTGCGGTCTTTGTAAACAACATTCAATGTAAACATATCAGTGACAGCTAGAAGAAAATAATCTTGATTCGAACAGCTGTTCGTTATTTCATGGATGAATATGTGATAAATATTGGGAGAAAACTTCACAAAAAATCGCACAAAATTGGGGTTTTAAACGTCCGAAATTTTATTTACAAAGTAGTGACACCATATTTTAATGGCTAAAGACAATCTCGCCAATCCAGTGAATACATTAAAATGGTTTGGAACTTGATAGGTACTCTCGTTTTTCAGGAGAAGACCGCGTAAAATGGCTCTTGGGCCGTGACAGACAGGAAGACAGACAGACAGAAATTTAGATGAGACTTGTTTCGGTTTCTTTAATGTATAAAACGTAAAAATAACCTAAAAGTTTATGATTATGAGCAATGTACAGACAAAACTCTATATAGATTTAATAAAATAGTTTGCTAGATAAACGGGAATTGTTGTTGCTTATAACCTTAAAGCTGGATGCCCGGCATTATGATTTAGGCACCCTGCTGGGCACTGTTTCACTCCACTCCCTCACACTCACAGTCGGAGTGAGTACAGAGTACAGACGGGGTGTGATCGCTCATTAAGCCAAGTGGGTTGCCTTGTCGCCGCCACCCTCCCCCACCCACGCTACCAACATAGCAGTGTGTCCTGCATATACACCCTCTAGGGAGTAACGCTGATCTTATATACGAAAGATAGATGCAACTCGTTAACCTTATTTGTAATCTGCATTGCAGAAAAATATTTAGATAGAAAAAAAGTATAAATCTTGCTTGGAAAATTTAAATGCATTACCTATATTACAGTCAGCGAAAGGCCTATGTATTTATTCAATGTAATTTTAACTCTCTTACTCATTCACCGCGGTCATTTAAGCGTATTTTGTATGTAAAATTTACCATACCAAAAATAAATTTCTTTAGCAATTTAGAATGGTTAAAACGGAGCACATTAAATCGAAAAAATCTATAGCTTTTTAATGCTGTAATTCGAAACTGGACCCAGCTGACGTCAATCATTGGGCTTTTGCAACTTTACCTTAGGTTTAACATCAGCTCTATCAGGGGTGCTTCCACATACCCTATTTCAATTGTACACATACGTTGACAGATTTTATAGTACAGTAATGTATTCAAATTGAGCTAGACATTTACACAAATAGACATTTACCTCGACGTCTAATAAAACACGAAGTGAGCTATTTAACATTGATTGACCTGTTTGCTTGCAAATAAATTCGAGGTTAAAAATTCATTATGCGGTTTGATCTTTATACGAAAACTTGTTGTGAAAACATTCTAATAATAGGGAAGCGATCAATGCACAATTAACATAATCGATTTGAGTCACCGACTAAAAGTGTTATATCACTGATTGATGTTGAATGCATGAACGAGATAATTAATAAAGAGAATCAAATTATCTGATTGAGTGTCTATGTAGCTTTCAGATCATTCCTCGCCCTTATCTATGCCTTAGTAGATTTTTAAATACACCATGATATGATAAATTAGTCGTCAAACATTTAAATGTTTCTATATTTGTATTTTTATGTCGGTTTGTAGTTTGATTTACCTTTGTTAGGCAGTGGCGCCGCGAGGAGTTGTTGGGACTCCTCTTGAGGCATGACGCCATCTTGCCTCATGACGTCATCCCGTCCCGTAGTGACACAGCTTCATCGCTCCATCCTGTAAAGACACCAGGTGTGTAAGATATGTCGTTCATGGATAAGTTATAACACAGACAACTCTAGGGTTCCTCTTGAGGCATGACGCCATCTTGCCTCATGACGTCATCCCGTTCCGTAGTGACACCGCTTCATCGCTCCATCCTGTAAAGACACCAGGTGTGTAAGATATGCCGTTCATGGATAAGTTATAACACAGACAACTGTAGGGTTCCTCTTGAGGCATGACGCCATCTTGCCTTTATGACGTCATCCCGTCCCGTAGTGACACCGCTTCATCGCTCCATCCTGTAAAGATACCAGGTGTGTAAGATATGTCGTTCATGGTTAAGTTATATCCACACAGGCAACTCTAGGGTAAGTCATGAAAAATAAATAAGGATAAGCCAAATCCTCCAAGTAAGACATCAGGTAATTATAGCTAGAAAACCTTTGGATACGTCTTGTTCTCACAGGTTACCTGTGAGGTAAGATAAGTTCTTCCTAGATAATATGCACCGAATATTATTGAAATGTTAAATTTATTCTGGTGTATGATAAATAAATAAATAGTCAAAGATGAAAACATGAAAGACATTACACCACCAAAGTATAAGAAAATGTATGAGGTAAGACAAAACGTTGGTGACCAATAAATGACAAATACAAATACTACATTGACTAAGTAGTGTGTTACAGAAAGTCGAAAAAACTGTTTAGTTGATAAAACTTCAGATTTTTAAATAAATCGATCAATCAATTTCTTTCAAATAAAAATATTTGGTTAACAATTAGTACTCATTTTTAAACATTATATTACTTTTTTATGAACTAATGTTGATAACAACTGTAACATTGAACCATAGATAAAAGGTGGTTGAACATATGGCAATTGGTTTTGTAGCAAATGTCATTGCTGGTATATGAATGTAAAGAATTTTAAGTTCCATCCATGTTGAGGCACTATGATTTAATATAAGCCATTTTTTTCATTGTAATATATGTATTAGTTTTGAATGTTTTTTTCATCAATCCGTACCGAAAGTAACTATTTTCGATAACAGCTGATATCAAAGAAAGTAGTTGTTTCCCTAGCTCTAATTTAAGGCGAAGGAAAATTATTAGCTGATTTAGCTAGTGTTTTGTTAAGGTTTATTTTAATGATTCAAATCAGCTGTTCTCATTGTTGCACAATCTAAATGTATACGTACAAATTGGCCATTTTTTTTTTTTTTGTAATTTACATTGAAAAAATTAAACGGCCGCCATTTTGAAATTTTAAACTGGATCAAGGCAATTGTTTTGTTAACATGAATCCCTTCAACCTTAACATACATACTAAGTTTCATAAGGATCTGTTGAAAGAATCTAAAGATAAAAACGTTTATGTAAAATATACAAAATAGCGGATATTTCGTTAGCGAAGCGATTTTGGAAAAAGTTTTATTCTATATTTTCTCTATATTTTGACCCAAGAAGTCACTAAGTTCATTATATCCCCACCTTTTTTTGAACACCCTGTATATGCATAACAAATTGAAGGTATTATGTTTTTGCGTATGGTGACCTCATACCGAACAAGCAAATCGGCCTAGGGTCCAGGTCTTGCCATGAGAACTATGGTCATAACTTATTCCTTATGGAAAATTCGGAAAAAAAAGTTTGTTACAAATCGTCTACTGTTTAACCTATGTTTAATTTGATTGCCTTGTAAGTCACTGGTTTATTAATAATAATGAATTACTCCAATACATGTCTTAGTATGGTGTAAAAATGAGAGTACAGGGCGTTAATGAGGCTGAAACTCGAGTTACAAATAACTTCTTGTTAACCTGCTGCGGCCTCGAAGGTACCGTTACTACTTAAACCAACCAAATGATACTAAGCACACAATAGGCCTATAAGCCAACAAGCACTCTAAAACCACCGGTTTGTATAAAAATAGCATGGTAATAGGTGCAAGTAATGCAATTATTTTCCGATATTATTAAAGTTTTTTAAGTTAAGAACTTTTACAGTTTGATAGTTCATGTCTAAATTCTTTTGTGGCTCATACAATCATACAACACCAAAATCTCCTTTTTATGTATAATTGACGGTTAATTTTGAATTTTACGACATCTTACTTTTTTGTTTGGACAAAATATTATAGACTTTTCTGTCTGGAATAATAATAAATACCCCCACCGCAGCAAACCTGCCGACTAAGCGAATTTCCATTTGTCTTAATTGATTTTCAATTAAATATATTTTAATAACATTAGGTTTAACGAGTACCTAGGTTTGCTGCTACAAGGAAACTAATTAAGTGTGTTTTTTTGTAAAATATTGATAGCTTAGTACAAAATAAATAAATTTGATCAAAATACCAAATATGGTATTTAATAAACAAGCAAACTACAACATTTGACAATATTCTCCATAAGAATAACATGGGAATTTTAAATTTACAATTTTTTTAATTTTCTCCGTTACTATTAACCGAACAAAAATACTTTTATATACTAAATTAATTGTTTTTTTAAGCTCTTTAAAAAGGTCTAAAGAGAAATTGGGAAATTTTGTGTTTGGAGGGTCAAAAGTGACGGTTTTGTAAGTACATAATTAGTAAAATTATTTTACAAAAAACCTATTATTGTTGTTAGAGATGGAATTTTATTTTTTAAACAAAGTGCATTATTAATTTAAAAGTATTTTAATTATATATGCACATTTTTTGTCGCATGTGTCAAAATAGGGAGTCAAATTTTAATAGCACAAAATGGACAGAGTAGCAAAATAATAGAAAAACCTTAACAATAACACACGTATACACACCAAATATAGATACTTTCACCATTGACTATATAACACTATCTATCTAGTGTTATATAGTCGATGGTTTCACATAGATTGTAATAGTAGTAGATAGTAGACGGTTCATATAAATTTTCGTTACAAAATAGCTTTGTACAAAATAACAAATTTACTAACTAGATTCAAACTACATTCCAGTTCAGTAGTTTGCAAACCACAACAAAATCTAAATGCCACAGTAAATACGACCTGGTCGTCAGCTAATGTGTTGAATATAGCGTATCTTTGGTCGCTGCTAATAACTCTGTTAGTCGGCACATTTAGTATCGATGAAAAATAACATGCTATGTGTCCTTGTTCATCTGTGTTTAGATACTACCCAATCATAAAACTTCAGAACGTTACTTACAATAATTATTGCGTGATCATTTACTTCCGCGGGCTGCCCTAGTTTACTTCCCACTTTTATAATATCAATACTTTAAAACTATCTTTTAACAGTGATTCAAAGTATTGATTTGTTTGTCTTTGCCGGTCTCAAATCGACATACTAGTTAAGTCTACATTCAAAGGATTTCAGGGTTAATGACACTAGGCAAAGTAAGCTACAACTATAACAATGCTCGTGTCGTATACTCAATTTTGTTTACGTCTAGTTCTGTCTTATATCCTTCTATGGGGAAATTGTTGATTACTGTAATATTATTTCTACATTCTGCAAACTCATAGTCAGCTTCATAGTCTTCCTTCGAATTCCTCTTCAAAAATCGTTAATTATATTGACTGCATATCACAAATTGGTTAGGGTGTTATACAATGACGTTGTCGTTGGTAATCTTTCCATACGACACATACAATTTTCACAAGCCCACAGAAAAGTATAGATCCTTTATGTATGCGTAAGGAAATTTCCCAGGCCTCGATTTGCTTTTGTATGTATTAAAGATATTAAGATTTTCAATTAGGGCAGATTCAACAAATTGCGCAAAAGCTAATTAATAAAATGCTTCAACGAGGAGCATTTTATGAGGCAATTAAGTATCAGTGCACTCATTTAGGTTAATGGCATCGCTGGGGCGTCTCGAAAACAGTACATCGTTGTATATAAATCCGTCTATTCTATAGCTCGTTCACCACAGTAATAACGAATAAACTTTCAATTATTATAGAAGAAGAAGAAGAAAAAGTGTTTATTGAAATAAAATATTAAAACAGTGTTTTTACATAAACACAAAGAACAATGGTCAAAGACCGTCTGTTTTGTGGTTGACATACTGATTTTACAATATTTTAAAACACATTAAAAAAGAGTCCATAAATAACAAACTATAATTCATTAAATAAACTGATTTCTGGTAAAAAAACACACAAATAGCACTACATAGTAAAAAGGATCAGTTAACAAATGAATCAAAAATAAAATTAAAAATATAGCCTACTGAGAATCTGAATTTATTCTACAAACAGCAATAAAATATAAGTAATAATAAAAAAATAAAAAACAAGCCTTTTTTACTTTGATAAATACTTAACAAACAATATTGTATACATTTTTTAAGTACATAAATTTTCCCACTTTTGTATTGATATCTCAATTATCAAATTTAATAATTGAACTCCATTATCAATTCCCACCTTTTACACCACGCCTCTTTAAGATAATTTCCCAGTGCCCGCCAATCTTTGCCATTTAAAAATTCAAAAAACTCATATTCATTTAAATATAACCTATTAAACCAAATTTGACGTACATTTTTTAAAATTGGACATTCTGCTAAAAAATGGTACACAGTTTCATCTCGGTTGAGATTACATAGTGAACATAAATAAATTTGATTTTCCATCCAGGTCTTATAGTTAAGATTTATTAACTCTGTTCTATATTTTATAATCCAGGATTATTATAGTTATACAATTATTAAAGTCAGCCAAACGTCAGCTTTCCCAACTTCCAGTAACAAATTCAGCAGTTTTTCAACCTTATTGACATAACTAGTGTAACAATTTAAAGTTGTAATCAAGTTTATGGAAAATGAGATTATATAATGTAACAATCTATTGAAATTTCAAATGGGTAGCTTCAAATAAATGATTGAAACTTAATCAACTCTAAATCAACCCAGATCAAAACAGTTAAATCCATCAGCATTGCCCGCTGAGCACCGTTCAGGAATAATACATGATGTACAATTGGGCTCATTTCCAGGTCTATTTGTCATTGTCTGC